CACTGATTATGCTTTCTGTGCTAGGTGCTTCTCTATTTCGCTTACTTAATTTTTTAAAATTTTATTTATTATTTTTATTTTATGTGTATGAGTGTATTGCCTGCGTGTATATGTGAGTGCACACATGTTGTACGATGTCGTGGAGGTCAGAGGGGAGCTTTGGATTCTCCTGGAGCTGGAGTTAAGGACGGTTTGTAGCCGCCATGTGGGTGCTGGCAATCGAGCCCAGGTCCTCTGCAAGAGCAATCAGTGCTCTTAACCACTGAGCCATCTCTCCAGCCCCATGCTTACTTAATTTTAAAAACACTAGCTCCGTATGGTAACTCATACCTATACTCCCAATACTTGGGAGGGAGGCTGAGGCAGGAGGATTGCCAAATTCAAGGCAAGCCTGGACTACAGAGTGAGTTCTAGACCAGATTGTCTTATAAAAAACCCAAACCAAACAAACTAAACAAACAAACAAAAAAAACCCCAAACCAAACCAACCAAACCAAAAACCAATCCAGCCCTAAAAGGTTAGGGGACCAATAAGGGCCTAAGGTAAGCCTGCTTATAAGAGTCTCACTTCAAACCAAGTCTGTGTAACTCCACAGCCAAGCTGCTGGCACATTTACTCACTAGTTTTTGAGGCAGTCTATGTAGCCCAGGTTGACATCAAACTCACAATTTCTGCTTCAGTGCTGGCTTACATGTGAATACCTTACATGAGACTTGCTTTCCCCTTTTAAACTATGTCACTGTCCCAAATTCAGGGAGCTAGTCCCCCCTGAACATGAATGTGGGTCCTGGCTGGACTCAGACCCTGCCCTCCTCTGCTCCCTCACTGGGGAAAGAACTACCACTGGAGGGTCAAGCTTGTGACCAGACTGTCCAGGGGCCACTCACAGGCCTCATTCTTTCTCTTCCCTTTTCAGGCTGGGACTAGAACCACACTGGCCCCGTTTAGGCAGAAGCCTGCTCAATAAGCACCAGCTTCCCAGTGTTAGCATGAGGATGATGAGGAAGAAGAGGAGACAGCAAAGGTGTTGAAGACATCACAGGGGCTCTGCAGCCCTGGGTTACTAGGTATCCTGGGGGCCCTGTCAGGGAAGCTGGTAGAGGCAGAAGGTATAGACTGAGTGACTGGATTGGGAGCTCTGCCTCTCACATGTCCTGTCCTCTCCAGTCTTCGTCCAGGACTAGGACAATGCACAGCCACAACATCTGAAATGCTGGGTATCACACTCCAACACATAGCCAACTCTGTGGTTTGTCCACATAGTCTTACAGTATCGTCAATGGAGCAGATTTCCTGGGGCTCCTACATAAGTGGCTCGCTTTGCTCCTAACACCTTTCCCTGGACTTGCTCCTAGCTCTTCCTTCCACCACCAGTTTGGCAGTGTCTCTCTTGGCCTTCCTTGTCTGCCCCTGCCCGATTTAGGGGGGCTCCCCATTATGGCACCCACCACACTGCATGGTAATTTTAGTTTGGGAGTTATCTCTCCCATTGGACTGTGAGTGACTTCTGGTCTGGAATAGAATTGAATTTGTCTTTTAATTCCTAGAAGCCAGCTCAGTGCTAGCACTTTACAAATGCTTGGCAAATATGTGAGTACACAGGGGTGGCTGCAGGTCTGCCCCTAAGAAGAGCTTTACATGGACTGAGCTGCCTCTTTCACCAGGGCATGTGCCCAGCTGAATTCTACCTGTCCCTGGCTACACCCACCTCTTGGCCTCACTTCGCTACTCACTGTCCCCTGCTGCTCTTCCTGGTGCACAGTCTGCTGGGAGCCCTACACCTGTTTGCTGGCTTGGTCGAGGCTCCTGGAACCAAGGAAATAAAAAGCCTTTTGGTAACCTCTGTTTGGAGCTCTCTGTGCTACTGTCCAGTGCATTAGGGAACTAAATGGTTGCACATGGGGAATAGCAGAGCTTCCTCCTAGATAAGAAAGTGCTGTGAGAGGTTGTTCCATCTTCTTTCCCCATGCCTTCCCCATTCATTCCTAATGCTTAACAGGACTCCTGGGTACCAGAAAGGTATGTGCTATAAGGGACTGCACTCATAGCAAGAAGCAGGCAGCAACTATATCTGGGTCTAAACCTGCTCCAGTCCTGCCCAGCCAGCCTTGGCTCTGGAACAGAGTTGCCTCCTGCCAGAATTCTGCAGGTGAAACTCCTGCCAGAAGCCAGAGGCTGAGCAGCTAGAAACATCACTGTAGGAGCAAGATAAGCCTAGGACTAGGCCCCAGACAGGAAGGGCAAGAAAAGGCAGCCCAGCTTATATCCATCCAGGCATCAGAGGCCAGGGAAGCAATGTAGAGCCTGGAGATGTCCCCTGAAAGCACTAGTCTCAGGCTTAGAGTGGGGAAAGGCACTAAAGAAGGGGCCTCTATAGGGCTGGAGAGATGGCTCAGCAGTTAAGAACATTAGCTGTTCTTGCAGAAGACCCGGGTTCGAATCCCAGCACTCACATGGCTGCTGACAACTGTCTGTAACTCCAGGTCCAGGGGATCCAACAGACTTTTCTGTTCTCTGTGGACAGTGCACGGCATGGGTACACTTACCTACATGCAAGCAACACATGCATACACATAAAATAATAATAAATTAAAAAAATATATAGGCTGGGCATAGTGGTACATGCCTTTAATCCCAGCACTTGGTGGGGGGGGTACTGAGGCAGCGGATCTCTGTGAGTTCAAGGCCAGCCTGGTCTACACAGAGTTTCAGGACAGCTGGTGCTATAGAGAGACCCTGTCTCAAAAAGACAAAATATATATATTTATATAAGTATAATAAAAAATAAATAAATAAAAATAAATTTTAAAAAAGAAGGGGACTCTAGAGCAGCAAAGGGCCTGGGCGTGTTGCTCAGAGTACTGGGAAAGGCACGGACACTGCTGTCATTCTTTGGAGGCTCAATCTGAAGCCCAAAGCCTGTGTGTCACGGAAGGCTCAGAGGACTTCAGACGTCTCCTTCCTTCCCGTCTCCCTTCTCCCCTTTCCACTCAGGAAGCAGTTCTCCACACTGGCTGTGCATCCCAGTGTGTGTCCAGGACAGGGTAGGCAGAGGCCTGAGCACCCCACACTGTCTCACTCACTGTGCCAGAATCTTGATCTGCTGGCTGCCAAGGCCAACCTGTGTGGGAAGCTCCTTGGTCTTCCTGGGACCAGCAAGGCCCTGCTCTTTGCTTGCTCCCACTCTAGCTGGTATTCTCCTTTTCTTATTTCTCTCCTTTTTTGCTTGGATAGACTGGAAGAGTTTTGACTTGATTGAGCTGGGTGCTCTTTGGAAGACTAGGTGGCCATACCCACCTGGCTGACCACACATCCCTGGTCTGCCTGCCCCAAGAAGTTTGGACTGCCTGACTCTTCCCAGACTGCCTAGCAGGAAGCAGGAACTGGTGTTTGAACCAGTTCCAGATCATCAATGGTAACTGGGCACCAAGAAGCAAAATCCAATGGGATCAGGGCCCTGTCCTCTGAATCTCTTGCCATGAAAAAGCCTTGGGACTTTGAAAGGTGTCTGTGGGCAGAGAAAGTAAATACCAGGAGCATGTGGGCTGATGAGCAGAGGGCCAGTGTAAGAAGAATTCACCAAGGCAGACCCAATTCCCACCCATGTCTCCCTCTGAAGTGCCTGCCTGTGACCTCAATTCTATTGTCTGCAGGAAAATAGAAAGGATGTAGGGGCTCTGAGAAGAGAGGGGTGCTCCCTCAGCCCCATTCCCTCCACGGTTTGGTAAAGAGGCCTGCTTGAAGCTGGGGGTGGCCGAAGCCAAACTCACCACCTTGATATTGTGCCCTTTCCTTCCCTTTGGAGATCTGGGCTGAACCCAACATGGCTGCCTCACTCAGCCTGGGTCTGAGATAGGCTCCCTTCCCCACTGTTCACCTCCCTGAGTCTCTGGACCTCACTTCTGTCTTCTCTCTTGCTTGCTACCTACTTGACACTGCCTGTACTTGGCCTTGCTTGGAAAGGGCTGTGGAGTCAAATCAAATTGCACTAAGACCCCACAGGCAGGCTAAACTGTTCTCACCCCCAATTTTCCTCTAAATCTAAAAGAACAACAGCCATCTTACTGTAGGCAGAGGGCCATCTGTCATCAGTCTCTGGGAAGAGACTTGGGTATTGGGAGATAAATGGCCTGAGCGCTGCACACCCCCCTCCCTTGAGTGGTTGATGACAGCTGGAGGGGAGGAGATGGGGGACAGACTCAGACAAGTTGGCAGGTATCCCTATAGGCCCAGAACTGAGAAACAGAGGTCTCAGAGGAGGACCCAGTGGGTGGTCTACTAATGGACAATCTGAGCCTACTCTACCCACATATGCTCCCTAAAGGCACAGGCCCAGATCCTGGTCAGCCTAGAGCAGTCAGTACAGAATCTGACCACACTAGAAGAGAAGAACCAGACTCAGTGGAAGGCTGGGAATCCAGCTATAGATTAGTGATAAAAATACAAAGCAGAGGGAGGTCTGGATCATGAGTTTGAAAGTTGGTACACTTCAGTTGAGGTCTGCTGTCCCTGTAGAATGGCTCTGGAGCCTCAAGAAGGCTTTCCTTCCCTGGCTGAAAAAGAAGACAGGATCACAAGACCAGAGTCAGACAGGTCTCACTGGGGGAAGTGAGGCCAGGGAGGCAGCTACAGACCAGGGCGGGAGAATATGAAAGCTAAGAGAAGACTGTGTCTGGCCTTAGGGACCAGAGATTTTGTTCCCTGGGATCTGAGGCACTGAGGCTGTGGAAGGCTGAGAAAGGGCCCTTGCCTGAGTTTCTCGGGGCAGGCAGCAAAGAGCAGGCATTTCAGCTCCAGGAACTCGCCAGGGTCCCTGGCATCTTCTGGCCTCTCTGTCCCTTGCTGCTTTTGCTGTCTTTTAGCTTTGGGTCATTAATGCTTCTTTTGCAGTTTCCCATTTGTTCTTTGTGGGATCCACCAGGAGGGACTGCCTTGGGAGTTTGAGAGGCCAGGGACAAGGTCCAGGGCAAGAGAAAGGGTGCTGGCAGAGGGGGCTCACCACTCTCTCTTTGTAGACGATGTACTTCAGCCACTTGAAGTCCTGCCACTTGAAGCCAGCGAGGACAAAGAGGGAATCCCGCTCGTATTGCTCAGGCCGCTGCATGGCACCCTCGGGGTAGGTGATGCGCAGTGTGGTTTTGCTGCCCACATCCTTCTCAAAGCCCTTCACTGGTGCAGAGTTCAGTCTACAAAGAGCCGGTCCAGTCAGAGCTGGCCTTGGGCCTGTGTTTGGAGAGGCACCCTGAACCCCAAATACCCCAGGTATGGAGTGGGTGTCCAGGTCACCTAGTTGTCCATTTCAAACCCTCCAACCCAGTGTTCTTGAGACTTCTGTTGACCTCCAGCCCAGGTGGTTAGATGGTCAGGTAATTCTCAATGGACTTATGGCTCTGGATTTGGGCCATGACATGCACGTGCCCAAGGTGCTGTTTATGGGAACTCACCTGACCACAATGTCATAGTCGTCAATTCGTGACCCCAGAGATTTGTTGGCAAGTACACCTCCATTGCCCACAATGATGCAGCGGCGGCAGCGGAGGCTGAGGGGAGAGAGCAGAGGCCTGTGGAGAGCTGTCTGCCAGGTCTCTTTCCCTTGGTCTCTTTGATCCTTGTCTCTATGCCCTTGGCCAGGTACAAGGCTCCTAGAAGAATTTCTAAAAGGAGGCCAGAGCCATACCATGGGAAGCTGGACCCTTGGACTCTCTGATATCTCTGGTGTCTGATACTTCCCAGGAAAACATAGGAGAGACTTGGGGACCAGGAGGGGGCTCTGGTAGGATGACATTCTGGGGTAGTGGTTCCCTAAGGGTTAGTGAGGTTTAGGAAGTCTTCGAAGACAGGGAAAACTGGGGGACGTTGAGGCTCTCTTAGAAAGGCAAGGGCAAGGAAATGAGACTGCATGCTTCAGGATTTAAGACTCAGTTTATTTTCAACTCAGAAGCATCCATGCTTCCAATAGTCACTAAAGTACTTGTTCATTTTGCATCTCCCATCTTGACCCTGGGCTTTCCCCTCCAGGGTCCATTGGCTTCTGAGCTGTCTTACCTCCAGACTTAAGCTCTGTCTCCCTTTCACTGCCCCTACCATGCAGACCCTCAGGCTCATTGTTGAGCTGATCTCAGCCCCATCATCTTAAGTTCTTACCCCCAAACCTCTGATGTCTGAGCACTGAGAGGTCTTGTTAAGTACTTTATCTCTACAGGGATACACATCCAGTAGAGAGGTCCCTCTTATATATTCACAGTGTGTGGACTGTGTGTGCATGGGCAGATATGGTAGGGAAAGACCAGCCAGGCCACAGCACCTCTGCATATGCCAGGCGGTGAGGGGGAAGGGAGCTGGTCAGTCAGCAGCTTACCTGTCCAAGGCAGGGGTCAGGCTGTACTCTTTGGTGACTGACAAGATGGCTTTGATGAGATTGTCTGTGGACAGAGGAAGAAGGTTAATGTTAGAGGATCACTTAAGTTCCTAGAAAATGTTTGCTAGTACTCATACTGGGAGGCCCAGGTCTGGGGATAGAGTGGAGGCAGAGGAGAGAAGAAGGAGTTGCAGACACAAGGTTGGGCTAAACTACTTCTCTCATATTCTCCCTGATCCAGGAGGTACAGAAACAGGCAAGCGTGGGTCTGCAGGAGCCAGGCCCTAATCTCAGCATGCATATTCTTCCCAAGGCCCCTTCACCTTCCTTGGAGCCTCATCTGGTTTTCTGAGGCTCTGGAGCTGGGCCCTAGGGCACAAATGCCTTGGCCAGGGTCTGGCAGCTGGGACATCTCAATCTCCCCCAGAAGTGGGAGTTGCTAGTCAGAGTGGACCATGATGTCTTACCTCTGTGTACCAGGGAACAGACACCAGGGGAACAAATGAGACAACCAGTGGCTGAAGAGCTCACCCCAGCAGGCCACTTGCCTCAGTGTGAAGCTGCCTTCCCCTTCTCCCCTTCCACTCTGCACTGCCCATCTCTAACTCTGCTCTTTGCCAGGCTGCCTCTTCCTCCTTACCTCGTCATCTCTGCAGCCTGGCATTTGCCCACCTGCACTCCACTTCACTCCTGTTCTCAGCAAGGACCTCAGGACCTCTACACTCCCAGAGCCTGGGAACCACTATTCAGATCTCATCTGCTTGGCCTTTGGACGACTGCTCTCCTTTCAAACTCTGATGCAATAGGAGCATTATAGTATAGGGATAGTGGATAAGGAGCTGTTGGCCCCGCCAAGTTCTGCTATGTAAGAGCTCCACCACCTGATATAAATAGCTCACTTTCTTTGAGCTTTAGTTTCATTGTCTCTAAAATAAACATGGTGATTTCTACTTTGCTGAGTCTTTAGTAAGATATAAAGATGAGGCAAATTGGTACTGCCACGTTGGAAAGCATCTTAGTAATATAAAACAAGGATATAAATGTGCATACACTAGAACCCTGCAACTCTTCTTGGGGGGCACAGCACCGAAAAAATCTACACATTTTTTCAGGTTCTCATATACCCCACGATGACTTCAAATTCACTATGTAGGTGAGGATGACCTTGAACTTCTGATCCTCCTGCCTTCACCTTCCAAGTGCTAGGATTACAGGCATATGGCATCACACCTGGTTTTATATGTTGCTGAGGATCAAACCCAAGGCTTTGTGCATGCCAGGCAAATACTCTACCAACTGAGCTACATCATCAGCCCCTCATTATATACTTTATACTTTTTTGTGTGTCTTAGTTTGTTTGTTTTTTTTTTTTTTTTTTTTTTTGTTTTTTTTGGGAAGGGGTC